TTCTCAGCAGTCTCCTAAGAAACCACTTGTCTGTTGCTTCTATTTTATTTTCACTGCCTTTAGTGATTGTCCAGCATTCACAGCCATATATAGAAGAAAATTGACCATACACAGGATTTCAGAAATTTATTTTGGTAGTCATTGAGATGTTTCTATTTTTCAAAATTAGGCTCATTCTTTTATTGAAATTAACATTGGCCATTGCAATTCTCAGGGTTTTTTTTCTGTGGTACATTTGGCATCAGATGTTATTATATACCCTAGATATTTAAACTGCCGGACTGGTTTGATCTTATAAGATAAGATAAGATAAGATAAGATAAGATACGATAAGATAAGACAAGACAAGACAAGACAAAATAAGACAAGACAAGATAAGATAAGATAAGATTAGCTAAGATTAGCTAAGATAATATTTTATTATTCCTGAGGGATATTACATGTGCAATTACCCAACTTTTCCCCCAGGAAATGACTCAACAGACCAGGACATGTCTGTACTGTCTGGTGGTGATGGCCGTGGTGTGGATCACCGAGGCCCTGCCCATCTCTGCCACAGCTCTCTTCCCATTGGTCATGTTTCCTATGGGCGGAGTTTTGACAGCCGCAGACACCGCCTCTGCTTATATCGGGGTGAGTGGATGGGCGGTGTTATTGTGTGGGTGGGGTTACTATGTGGGCGGGGTTATTGTGTGGGCGGGGTTATGGTGAGGGCGGGGATACTATGTGGGCGGAGTTATTGTGTGGGCGGGGTTATTGTGTGGGTGGGGTTATTGTATGGATGAGGTTAGTGGGTGGGTGGAGTTAGTGTGCTGGGTTCATTAGTGGGTCAGTGAGTGGGGTTAATATGTGGGTGAAGTTAATATGAGAGTAGTGTTATTTTGTGTGGTTAATGAGTGGGATGGGTGGGTGAGGTTGGTGGGTGGGGTTACTCTGTGAAGTTAGTGGGCGGGGTTAGTTGTTTTATTTAGTGGGTGGGGTTATTATGTGGGTGGAGTTAGATTGTGGATGGGGTTACTATGTGGGAGAGGGGGGGGGTGGTCGGTGGGTAGAGTCAGAGGATTGGGTAATTAGTTGGGTTTAATGGGTGGGGTTTTTCTGTGGCTTAGGTCACTTGGCAGTGTTACTGGATGAGGTTTGTAATATATGAGGCAGCATGGTGGAATCAGGCTCTCGTCAATTTTTGGGCATATTGAGTTATTGGAATTATCTTAAAGCTTGTTCATTTGTCTTGCTTAAAAAGAAAAAAATTACTCATCCATCTTCAATAAAAGTGGAGATACTTTGAATTGAAGAAGGTGGAGGTCACCTGGTTTAAGAGGTAAAATTAGCAAGAAAATGGCTGCCAAAGCTTGGTAAATTCCAAAGCTGGAGAGTCCATGGACACTGTAAATTTATATTTTTGTACCTTTAATGTGTTTGTAAATAGACATAAAAGGTGTTGGGCCAAAAAACAAAATGTTGATAAAAATTCCATAGCAGGGAGAAAACTGCTGTTTTCTTCGATTTCATTATTTTGACGAGAGCCTGATTCCACCACGCTGCCTCACATATATCTCTGTAATATCTGTTACATGAGCAACAACTGTGTTTGGTTCACTATCGTTAATTGCCGTAGTTATCTCTCCTTGTTTGAATTCCTTAATAATTGAGCGCTCTTCGGGATGAGCAATAAAAAGTTATGATTCAGTAGTGTCATAAACATCAAACATGGTCGGTTGTTGATTTCTGTGCCCGGGGTTGTTGTGTTAGATTATCCATGTGTATCCAAACTATAACGGGGCTTCACACGGTCAAACCTTGAATTACTGATAACACTAGAATACAACAGCATTGGGCACTCCTGTACAATTGCGGTCCCGTTTAGGGATACTCGTTTTGACCACACCAACGACTACTTCTGGTTCTAAACGATTACTCTCTGATGCGCGTGCCGATATGCCTAAGGAGAGATAGCCAATCAAATCTAATTGCAAAACATTAAATTTTGGTTAAATTCAAGTGCTGGCCCTGACAGACAGGGTCGAAAACTGCGAATCGTTTAAAGGCCTAAAATGTATCGATGGCAGCGTAAAATCACGTTCATGGAGTCGCTTTTAAGGACAAACGTGCTAACACAGAATTCAGGGGTTTCCGGAAAAATTGACCAACACCAAAGGGGGCACTGTCCTGCCTATAGGAGAAGTTTGGTTCCATTTGTGTGTGTATTTGTTTGGTTATAAAGAAAACTCTCCTTGTCTTAGGAACGGAACAAGGGGTAAAAACTTTACCTTTGATTTTCGCAAAACAGCATATTTCGGGATAGCCCCTTGTGCAAAAAAGCGACCATAATATGTGTCACGGCGTGATGGAGGAAGGCGCTCGTCAATTTTTTGACATATGAGTTTATTGGTATCATCTTAAAAACTGTTCATTTGCCTTGCATTTGGTTTTAAAAAATATCCAGTTATCTAGAATAGAAGTCGAGATGTTTGCATTGAAGGAGATGGGGTCGCTTGGTTTTAGAAGTAGAATTAGCGAGAAAATGGCCGCCAACGTTTGGTGACTTCATAAGCTGGAGAGTCTATGGAAACTGTAAATATACATTTTTTTAGTTCCTTTTAATCATTTTTCCATAAAAATCCATACAAGAATGTTTTTGAATGGACATAAAAAGTGTTGAGCCAAAAAACCAAAAACATGGATAAAAATTGCTAAGCGGGAAGAAAAATAAATGTGAGGCAGCGTGGTGGAATCAGGCTCTCGTCAAAATAATCAAAGTGAAAAAATTGGTATTTTTCCGCAGATTTGAGAAATTTTATCGATTTTTTGGATTTTGGCTCAACACTTTTCATGCCTATTAAAAAACTCATTTCTGTGTGGATTTGACTGAAAAACGTGGATTGAAGGCACGCAAAAAAATGTAAATTTTCAGTTACCACGGACTCTTATGCTAAGGAAATTATAACTAACTTTTGGCAGCGTTTTTCTCACTAATTTTACCTCTAAAACCAGGTAACCCCAACCTCCTTCATTTGCAAATATCTCGACTTGTATTCAAAATAAATGGATATTTTTTTCATCCAAAGCAAGGCAAATGGACAAGCTTTAAGATGATACAGATAACTCTACATGCCCAAATATGGACGAGAGCCTGATTCCACCACGTCGTGACAAAAATACATTTTTCTTCTCTTCATTACATTGACGAGCGCGTGAATTCACCACAACGCCTCACATCTACAAACCACCACCCTCCTCAGAACACAAACATGCTATTTGTGGGCGGGCTGATCTTTGCTGTGGCAGTGGAGGAGTGGAACCTTCACAAGCGTATCGCAGTTATGGTCATGATGGCCGTGGGTTCGGATCCCAAGTGGTAAAAAATCATTGATGCTATGGCGACTGTACCTCGCTGTGCTGTTTTTGTTGTAATTTAATGCTCTGTTGTTGTTGTTGTTGTTGTTGTTGTTGATGATGTTGTTGTTGTTGTTGATGTTGTTGTTGTTGTTGTAGTTGTTGTTGTTGATGTTGTTGTTGATGATGTTGTTTTTGTTGT